TTTTACTACCAAATGTAACTATTTGACAGATACTTTGTGGCTAAGAAAAAGATTTATGTTTAATGAGTCTGCTTCTTTGCCCATGAGGTTTCAAGAATAACTTGATACTGTTAAATGATATTAGTTTTGGGTAGTTCATCACTGAGTTAACAAATCTAACTTCTTTGGACTGTAATTTGTCCTGTACCACTGGTTTCAGAAGCAGAGTTGTGTTCTAACCCACCGCTAGACAGCTCCTTCTCACCTCTGACCTTCCCAGTTTTACTACTTAGAAGGTAGCCCTGATATAATCTTGTTGGAAACATCATGAATATATTTTGTGAATATTTCTTTTTGTTTTCACTGAGATGGTATTGTTTAGTCATTATTTTGTGACCATGGCAACTTAATTGTGTTTTAGTCCTTGAGTTTATAGCATGGAAATTTGGGAACTTCTAAACCTGTATCATTCCCTTAGGAATGTGTGAAGGAGAAATTGAATCTCTTGCATGAATTTCTGAAAACTGAAATCAAGACTCAGTTGTGCGACTTAGAAAGGAAATTGCATAAAGAAGAATTATCAGAGGTGAGTCTCTTCTCTGCATCCTGGCTTCTAGAAGCGTCTCTTTCCATGTAACTTGGCTCTGACCAGGGAGGCAGAGTAATCTCCAGCCCTCCTTGTTGCCTGATAATATTCAAGGAAACACATGTTTTCTTCTTCTCTTCTTGCCACGTGTTTGCATTCACTGCTACTTAAATTATCCTTTCCTGCTGTAGGAGGGCTACCTGGCTAAAGTCAAATCCCTTTTAAATAAAGATTTGTCCTTGGAGAATGGAACTCATGCTCGGGAAGTGAACGGCTGTGTAGAAAACGGGAGCCATACTAGTGGTGTGCACCGCAGAGTGGGAATGGCAGAGGCCAACAAACCTTCCAAACTGGTTTCAAAACGTCGCCTGTCCCGGAGAAGCAAGTCCGATGGAGAAAGCAAGCGTAAGAATATTTGATGCCTTCTAAACCTCAGTGGACACCTGGTTTGCCCCTAGAGGACCGGTCACACTTGGAACCATAGTTAACCCTGGGTGATATGCCCCAGTTGGTTTCTTATGAATGGACACAAGAGTATTACATCCTTCTCAATAGCTCATGTGCACACCTTTCAGTCTGGGCTGTGCCCACCTGTAGAGTAATAGATCTCCCAAGATGACTAAATATCTGAGAGGTGATTAATTCGATGGGAGCTACTAGTATTACATTTAAGAAATTACATGCCTATTTCAGCTAAACATAAATTAGCCTTCTTCCCAGTTTATAGGCAAAGTAACTCTTGGGAATTGAACAAATGAAAGAACAAGGGGCTTGAGCCCAAGTCTGATTCTCATCCAGACTTGATCTTTTATCAATCTAAGAGGAGGTTCTATCTCCTTGTCTGGTACTGTGGTGGTTGGACCCCTCAAATAAAAACACAGGTGAAGATGGCTCAGAAAACCAACTGGTGCTAATTGCTGACATTAGCACGTGGGTATTGATAGCATAAAAACTAAAGGATGCTCAACTCTAAGAAACCCTGGCTGCAGTAGCTTGGTAACCTAAAGAGACACACCGTTGTGGACTTTTCTATTCACAATGGCTTTTTTCTTGTTTCTTTTTTTTCTCTAAATAGTTGAAGTTTCGCCTAGCCCCAGGATTACAAGGAAAGCCACCAGGCAGACCACGATCACGTCCCATTTTGTGAAAGGGTCAGTATCTAATGACAACTGGCCTTTTTCTAAAGGCCCATGTTTCTTGGTGAAAGATGATTAGACGTCTGTATTGCATAGGTTTTTCCTTACAGGTTTATTCATGAGTAGCATTTCTGAAGACCTCGTCTTTTTTTCTCTTACTATTTGTTGTTGTTAAGTGTCGTCAAGTCAGTTCCAACTCATAGCGACCCTGTATAGGGTTTATGAGGAGTGACTGGTGAGTTTGAAACACTGACCTTGGACTCTTAATATAGGAACCTTCAAATATGTTAAAAGTTAGTGAGGTTAGCATAATGAGCCCCCAAATACCCATCACCCCGTGTCAACTAGTGGTCAGCTCATGGCCCTCTTTTCATTTCTACCCCCACATATGCAGTCCCCCAATTGGGTACCTTTGAAACAAATCCCATGGCTACCATCATCCACAAACATTTTGGTGTCTTTCTAGAAGACAAGATCTCTCCTTTTGAAGTAAAACATAACTACTATTTTCATGCCTCACAGAATGTAACAATTCCTTATTATGACATATATAGTCTGTGTTTTATATTTCCCCATTTGTGGCAAATATTGCAGGCAGGCCTACACAGCATTGCATTTGGTTAATTTGTTTTAGACTTTCACCTTATAAATTCCTTCCCGCTCATTTTCTTGCTATTTATTTCTTGAAGTAACTTAAATTATTCAATGACGTGTTTAGATTGGGCTGGTTCCATTCTAGTGTTTAACGTGTTCCCTCGGCTCATGTTTCCTGTGAGCTGGGGAGTTAGGTCTATAGCTTGACCAGCTTTCAACTGACTTCTTTCTAGGCGGCAGTGTGTTTCTCCCACCAGAAGTGTATAATAGCTTTTCTCTTTGTGATATAATAGCAGCCATTGATCAGTGTCTAGATCCTGAATTTCGTACAGGCTGCAAAGCAGTGATATTCTAAACCCGCCACTCAAAGCAGCTTTAAACGTGATGTTTCTGTCACCATCTTGGCCATGAGGACTTCTGCTGGGCGAGACGGTACCAATGTTTTCAATGGTTCCTAAAGAGAGTGTTCTTGGTAGGGAAGAATTTAGGCCATTTAATGCCCACTGGAGGGTCAGGAAGGAGCCTGGTGGTGGTGTGGATTAGGCATTGGGCTATTAATTGCAAAGTTGGCGGTTCAAACCCACCAGCCACTCTGGGAGAAAGATACGTCTGTCTACTCCTGTAAAGATGTACAGTGTTGGAAACCCTGCGTAGGGTCGCTGTGAGTTGGGAGCCACTTGATGGCAGTGGTTTGGGTTTGGGTTTGGAGGTCTAGAACCTGCTGAACTAACTGTTGACCTCATTCTATGGCAGCCCTGCCAAACGGAAACCTGATGACGAACCTGTAAGAACAAACTCAGAAGAGTCTACTGATGAAGAAGAGAAAGACCAGGTAGACATTTTCACATTTCTTTACTCTGCCTTATTTTTGGTATATTTGCTGGTGATCATGACTCATGTCTGATCTGTCCAGGTGGACTTAGCTCCACTAGAGGGCATTAGAACGCATTCTAGGACCCAAGGCAAAACAATGTATATCAGAGGTAGACCCAAGTGCTCAGCCGGCCTCTGCCCCTCACAGGGAGCCCGGTAACTTCAGTCTTTACGGTCTGCTTGCCTACCGCCTTAGCTGCAGATTCATGACAGTCTGACTAGCAGATGTGACATGGTAAGGCACTGGCTTGTGATAGCAGATCAACTCCTTTCCCCCGTCTAGTTTTCCTGTAACTGGAGACATGTAAAGTTGTTATTTACGGCATCTGCGTAGACTCTGTTGGCTAAAAAGCTGATGGCCAGCCTCCAACATTGTTGTTATAGTGCAGCCGAGTCTGTTCCAACTCACAGAGACCCAGTATAGGGTTTCTGAGAAGTGTCTGGTGGGTTTGACTCACCGACCTTGTGGCCCAGTGCATCATATTATATGTGTCTGTTCCATGTGACTTCTGAAGGATCAGACCTAAGTAATACCAGGTGGTCAGACACTACTGATTACCATTTCTGTTTTGCTGCAGGCTTAGCAGACTAAGGGGAAGCCTTGGGGTTTACCTGCCTGGTAACGATGACACTATTGATATCTGGGGCCAGATAATTCTGTGGAGGGACACTCTGCAGTGTAGGGTATTTGCAGCATCCTTGACCTCTGCTCATAAGATGCCAGTAGTACCACGATCCCCCTCCCCAGCTCCTGCAGTTGTGACAACAAAGCCATCTTCAGACATTGCCAGATATCCCCTGGAGCTAGAGTCGTCCTAAGTGGGTAGTATTGGGCTAAGGAGGCTATCACAGTATCATTTGGCTAGGCTTTGACAGCCGACTATAAGATACAGTAATTCTCACACTATTATTTCTTAGAAATGAGATGTTATTGCTCACATTCATTACTCGCATAGCTATTCTTAGGTTTAGTCTGACTGCATTCTCAACTGGGAAATTGAGACACAGAGGGACAGAACTTGTTCAAGTCATGTGGCCAAGTCTCTTGCTGTCTAGGAAAAAGGTGAAATAAGCTGCCTCTTATAATATTGGTATCTCTGTTTTTATGAATGTACCTGTTTTAGAGTTGTTGCTTATACCTTTCTCTTCTGGAGGGTTTTGTCTCCTATCTGGGTTCTAATAGGACGCACCAGAGCATTGTTTCCCAAGCTTGAAGCTGCTTCACCGGCAGCCTGTGAGGGGCTTGGGGGCTTCGTCAGTGAACACTTGTACAAACTGTTTATTCTAAGATGTTAGAACAAGACTTAGCTTAGCCAACCAGTGGGATCCCATGGTATTGTTGGACTCTTAAGTTATCAAATACAGTAAGACCTTCAAAAGGTGGAGCCTGTATAAGTGGTAATCTGTCAGAGATGGAACTCTCCGTATTTCCCACTAAAACAAGGAGTAGGGAAGTGGCGAGGCTGTCTCAGGTGGAAGATTTGTGAGAACGGGACAAGGGAAAACTAGGCAGTCCAGTTGAGTTCTGACTCTTTCATGTTTTACTGTAAGGTTTTCTCTTGGTATTAAATACAAAGATAATCTTACTTTGGTTGGTTGAAAATTTTAAGAACTTATATTTTTAAAACTAGTATATATGTATTTGGTAAAAATTTTAAATGGTATGAAAGGATATTCAGTATATAGCTCTCCCTCCTACCCTGACCCCAGGCCTTCAGTTTGCCTTTTTAGAGGCAGGCCTATACCAGTTTTTCTTATATTAATCCAGATACACACACTCACACACACACATACCTGAGGGGACTTTAAAAAGCTCATGGAAAATTCCTTTTTTTTTTTCCCCTTCAATTTCATTTTGTAACTTCCTATAACATAGAATAAAAAATATATATATATATTAAGGAGAAAAATAGCATTTATATTCATACATACATGTTGTGGTTGTTGTTGTTAGGTGTTGTCAAGTCTCTTCTGACCCACAGCAACACTGCGTACAACAGAATGAAACACTGCCTGGTTCTGTGCCATTGTGTCAATCCATCTCGTTGGGGGTTGTCCTCTTTTTTTTTTTTTTTTGCTGACCCTCCACTTTACCAAGCATGATGTCCTTTTTAATATGCCCAAAGTATGAGAGATGAAGCCTTGCCATCCTGGTTTCTAAGAAGCATTCTGGGTGTACGTCTTCTAACACAGATACGTTCTTCTGGCAGACCGATATTCTTCTGGCAGACCATGATACTTTCAATATTCTCCAACACCATAACTCAAATGCATCAGTCCTTCTCCTGTCTTCTTTGTGCACTTTCCAAATTTCACATGCATATGAGCTTATTGAAAAGATCATGACTTGGGTCGGGTGCCCCTTAGTCCTCAAGCTGACATCTTTGCTCTTCAACACTTTATAAAGAGGCCTTGTGTAGCAGATATGTTTAATGCAATACATTGTTTGATTTCGTAATTGCTGCTTCCATGAGTGTTGATGGTGAATCTAAGCAAAATGAAGTCTTTGACAACTTCAGTGTTTTCTCTGTTTATCATGTTAGTTTTGGGTCCTGTTGTGAGAATTTTTGTTTTCTTTATATACATAATTCATACGTATATGTATATATAAAATGTATGTATATTGTTTTTAAGTGCTGTTGAGTTGGCTTCAACTCATAGCCACCCTGTATGGGGTTTCTGATGCTTTATATCTTTGTGGACGCAGAAAGCCTCATTTTTCTCCTGCTGAGGGACAGGTGGGCTTGAACCGCGGACCTTGTGGTTACATTTTATATATATATATACATGCACACACATGTATATATACATATAAAGAAAACAAAGGTCTTCACAACTGTACTGAAAAGGACCATCATGATAAATGAAGAAGGATAGATTGATGTTGTCAAAGACTTCATTTTGCTTATGTATCTGTGTGTCTGTCTGTGTGTGTATGTATATGTATGTAAGTATATATACACACATACACACACGCATACATATAAGTCCTGGTATGGTGCTGCAGGATAATACACTGGGCCACAAGGTCAGTGGTTCAGACTCACTACCTGCTCCTTGGAAACCCCATACAGGGTCGCTCTGAGTTGGAACAGATTCATTGGAAGGCACTTCATAACACACTGTGTATATCTGACTCATAGCAAACTGGTGAGCCTGAAGCACTGGTGTTGCAGTTTAATCCGACTTTGCAGTCCTGCGCATTATCCTGCAGTGCCACACCAGGACTCCATAGATGTATATGAGGGGACTTAAAAAGTTTGTGAGAAAATGAGATGGAAAGATAGTGAAATTTTTCCATAAACTCTTTGAAGCCTCCATGTATATATCACCTATCTTTCTCTTAAAAATTTTTATTTTGAAGTAATTATACACTCATAGGAAGTTGCAGAAATAGTACAGAGAGATCCTGTGTAACCTTCCCCCAGCCTCCCCCAGTGGTAGCATCTTACATAACTGTAATACAATGCTCAAAACCAGGAAACTCGGTGTTGGTGCAGCCTACAGACTTCATTCCGCTTCCCCTGGGTTTTGCACGTACTTTTGTGTGTGTACGGTTTTATGGAGTTTTATCACATTTATGGATTCCTGTAACCTCCATCTTAAACAAGGTATGGGTCAGCTTCGTCACCATAATATTGGCATTCCTTTTAAATTAAAGAACTAAATACAGACATCCTGAAGAGGCGCATATTGTGAGCTGAGTGAGCAGTGTACTAGGGTTTCCTTCTCAGAAGAGCTAGTGTTGGATTTAGATTGTCATCACCACTTCCTGGCCGAAGTCCCAAATTACTGTTCTGTTTTGTCCTTCTCCCCACCCACTCCCAATATTAAAGAAACTGTACGTGAAACGGAGCATCTTGGAGTCTTTTTACATAGCACACTAGGTAATAAGCAGACATGTGTCTAACTAGCTCCTGTGTCTCTCCTTGGTGTTGGGGGTGATGGTATGGTAATACCAGACTGATGGTTGCTCAGATCTTCTCCTCCAAACCCAGACCCCTCTTTCCTACTGTTTTTAGACATGTTAAAGAGATTTATGTAATATTTATGCTTTTGGTTTTGAACTTCCTTTGAAACACATTTCCTTTTTTCTTTTTCCTTCTTCTCTTCCCTCTACATAGGATGAAAAGAGACGCAGAGTTGCCTCCCAAGAACCGTAAGAACAGTTACTGTGCTTTCTTTTTGTTCTGCGCAATATGTAATCTAGAATACTGAAATGACTTCTCTGGGAAGTTTAACAAAGAAGAGCTTTATAGTACATTGCCATGGCAACCATAGATCTGTTAAAGAGGTCAAATTTGGGGTCAGATTATTAATCTTTTGATTCAGGTAGAATTCTCTTTATTCCTTGCAAAGCGTGAGCAGGCTGTTCTTATCAAGCCCTGCTTTGAAGATCAGATTTGTATTAAATATAAGATGTTTAAGAAACATGTGTCTTTCAGGGCTTCTGAGATGAAGGTTACTTTTGGGGAGGGTCGTAGGAAAACTGCTTCTGGGGGAGGAGTCTGTATAAGTCACACTTGGGATGTGTTTTATTTTGTTTGACAGAGTTGCTAAAGAAGAGCTGAAAAGAGTAAAACCAGGAACTACCACGGAAAGGAAAGAAGTAAGAGATGAAAAAGTAAAGCCTCTTCCTCTGTGTTGGTTGACCCTCCCTTAAGCTCCCAGAGTCCCCATTTGGTCCAGGGATGGGGCTAGAGGTTGGGGAGTGGGTCAAATAGAATGACTTTTTTTAATGATCAAAATGACCTTGGCTTTGACTAAAACACTTTTCAAACTAGATTTTTTGGTTGTTTTCTACACAGAAGATGGGTTGTTAGGCTGTGGTGATCCTAAATCTTCCAGTGACACACGTGAGGGCCTTTTCTGATTAGTCAGTGAGTCAGGGATCCAGCCTGCCCCTTGCCTGCCTGCCTCTCTTGCTGGCGAGCTCTTTGTGAAGATGTAGCTTTCAAACATGTGAGGTAATAAAAGTCGATAACATCATCCCATCTGCAGTTGTTTTCTTCCCTGGGAGATCTGACCTGCCTTTCCCTCATCCTCCAGCTCTTCAAGTCTGAGAGCCTCTGAACTGCTTTCGGGGCTGGGAGGAGGAATGAGGGCTTCTGACACTGGAGACTTGACTATTAGGCAATGTTGCCCCAAACGACAGAGGGCTGGTGTTGTGATTACAGGTGATGGAGCAACACTGGCTGCCATTTTTAGTTTGTTGGATGCTAAGACATTGATGAGAGGTTTCTTACAGACTTGGGTAGGTGGTGAATATCTTTGCAGAAGACCTGGTAAAAGCTTTGCTATTTGTTTTTGTTAAGTGCTGTTGAGTTGGTTTTGACTCATAGTTACTTTGCTATAAGGGGGATTAAACTAAGATGTACATTAATTAATTCTTGAAGCATTTGATACTTGAAGGTAGTCTTTAATCACCTTTCCTGCCCTGATACTAGTTCAAGTTGGACAACCAGTTAGTCAGTTTTGTTGTTTAGTGCAGTTGAGTCCGTTTCGATCCATAGCGACCCTGTGTAGGGTTTCTAAGAAGCAGCTGGTGAATTTGAACCACCAACCTTGTGGTTCAAACCGACCTTGCAGTCTAGCACATTAGCCCACAGTTAGTTGTTGTTGAGTGTCGTTGAGTCGGTGGTTTCAACTCATAGCAATCCTGTATAGGATGTCTGATGGATTGGCTGGTGACCTTGAACTACCAACCTTGCAGTCCAGCGCATTAACCTGCAGTGCTACACCTGGATTCCCAGTAAGTCAGTGTTGTTGTTAAGTGCCATCGAGTCAATTCCAACCTATAGCAATTGCGTATAGGGTTTCCAAGGAGCACCTGGTGAGCTTGAACCACCGACTTTGTAGTTCAAACTTTGCAGTCGAGCTCATTAACCCACATCATCACACAACCTCAAATTCACTTCCAAACCAGGTGGGTCTAGTGAGAAGGAACTGGGTTCAAGGTTGGAATCCCTTGCCTGTGGTCAGAGTGCCCTGACTGCCTTCGTTTGCTAGGAATGTCTGCAATATGTGTCTTCTCTCGATGTTACAGATCTCTTCATAAACCAACCACACATGGAGTTTTCTTTTGTGGTAAAATATATACATATGCAGTGTGTGGGGTTCTGAGCTTGAATTCAAGTTGAGTTGTTTTCTGGAAAGGTGTGCTTAGCTGTTTAAATTCAGCTTCAGCATGATGGGTGGTCTATGTTTGTTTTAGAACTACTGTCTAAATTGGAGTCCTGGTGTAACGCTGTAGGATAAGCACTGGACTGCTAACCACAAAGTTGGAGGTTCAAACACACCAGTCACTCCTTGGAAACCCTACACAGGGTCTCTATGAGTCAGAACTGATTCGATGGCACTTAAGAAGACTGTCTAAATTGGGTTGTGTTTCTTCATCCCTTTATTATAGATATTCTAGTTTTGCTATAAATCAGTAATGAGTTGTCAGTACTCACAGAGGAATTCGGGGGTAAAATACTTGAATTACTATGTGGTAGGACATGTCGTGTAAGAGTTTGATCCTTTTCTGCTTGCCTTCTCTGCTAAAAAAAAGGTGGGGGAGAGAGAAATTAGTCTCAAATGTAGATAGTTTTACCTCTAACTATGCTATAGGATCAGTTTGGATATTTCCTTCCATAAAACCTTTCAGGAAAGACTTTAAAAAAAAAAAAAAAGAGGACCAAATGGAAAAAAAATACACATCTTTTCTTCTCTACTTAGGTAGAAAAGAGACTCAGGAGTCGAGCCAAAGAACCGTAAGTACAGCTGGTGTGTCTTTGTGCTTTCTCTGAGACATAATTGTGAAAATAAGTGTTCTGTAACATAAAAAATTGTACATAACAAATTGAGGCAGACGGTTAGGGGACTGAACTATACTGAGTTCTGCTTGTGAAAGGTCAGACCACCACAGCAAATGTTGATGTTGACTTTGATTCCTGCTTCTGACCCAGTGGTGGCCCCTTGGGGGTGATCACATAGCAGTCTGTCATGTGGTCCAAGGTCGCTGAGGGTGTCTCTGTATTCATTTCCTCTCACTGCGAAAGCACTGTCACAAGCCTCCAAAGCTCAGTGTTAGAAAACTGTAGGCATTCCTCACCACACGCACATCCAGGGAAGATTTCCTGAGTGTGAGTCTGCCACACAGTGGCTGTCAGCTGGTCTTGGCCAACCTTGGTGGGACTGACTGGACTGTTTGTAACTCCGTTAACCTGGGCACACTCCTGGCAGTAGCCGAGTATGAGAGAGAAGAGGAAAGAAGCACTTTCCCCAGTCCACAACTGATCAGTGCAGATGAGATGGGGCCCCAAAACATCAACGGGAGGGTAGACCATCTGCCTAGAATGATGAGCCCTGGCGGAAGAGGGCCCACCCATGCAGTCTGCCTTCTGAGGTTGCTATGCAGATTGTATGTTAGACCAGCTCTTGGGAACCAAACAAGGTTAGCCTCTTGCACTGCAGGATACCAGAACGCAGTAGAGACTGGTATTTAACAGCATTGAGCCAGAGGGTTGATAGTATTTCGAAAATCTTAGGTTTGCAGAAAGAGATACGCTTCAGGTGTTCTGCAGTGAAGATGCGCCTACCCTTCAGCTCCAAATCTGGGGAGGAAGCTATGTAAGCCCTCCTTGGGGCTGCTTGAAATGGTGTTGGGGTTCCCGAGCTGCTGACTGTATTGTTTTGTGTGACAGAACACCTAAACGGAAGCCTAAGGAGGAGCCGGACAAAGGAACAGTATCAGGAACTGATGCCGAAAGGGAGGAGGAAGGAGACAAGAAAGTAAAGACTGACTCTTTGTTTCATATCTCCACCTTATTTTTATGTGAACCCATTTCAGTGAGAGAAATAATAGTGGGTAGGGGCTCTGGGTACAATTCGAGCCCTTCTTGCCCGTGGGGTGACTCTGGGCAATTTCCCTGATTTACCACTTGGGGACTGGTGGGAACACATGTGTCCCTAACACATAGTGAGGGTTCAGTGCATCTGTAATGGTGAAGAAGGCTGTGTGTGTGATCCTTCCACAGAAAGCATGTCATTTAGGGGGCCTTGGTGAACCCCAGTGCCAGCCATTCCCCTGCTTCTTCACCTCTCACCGTTGCCCCTCACCCACCCCCACCCCCTGCCTCCAGCTTAGCTAAGTGAACATGTTTAAACCCTGTCAACGCCCCTGGAGCCAGGCCTGGTCCTCTGTACCAGCAGAGGACAGTGAGGTTACCTGCCGGGCAGTCCTCCTGCTGGAACTCGAGAATGGAGAGCAAGGCAGTGCTGTGTACAGGAGCCTAAGCTATGGAAGCTGTTTAGGCCTGTGACTAAGAGGTGAACTGGGATTAGTCACTAATTGTCACTCTGGTTTTCTGCTTATTGAACTCGGAAATGAATGAGGGAGCCAACGTTACAGACTTCCTGGGGCAGGACCGTTCTCACTTCTGACCTGACCCCCATCTCACAGCAGATGAGCCTGACAGTATTGCGCCCAGCTTTCTCAAATGCCGTACTGTTTCTCACCTTTTCTATCCAGATATTGGTTACTTTGGGACCACAATTTCAAAGGGGTATGACAAGTTCATGGAAAAATTCCAGTATCTATCAGTTCCATGAACTTTTGAAGCCCCTTGGTACTATTAGCACTTGTTTGAAGTCTCTTTCAGAACTAAAGAAATCTTAGTGGTGTGGGCAGACCCCCCACTCTATTCCCAGACGGAGATCAACAAGAGCCTTTGATCGCAACCAGCACTTTTGCCTCATGGTAGAAGCAGGTGGAAGGATCAAACATTTGGCTTCTCCTCATATCATTGACCTTCCTGTTTTTATAAATTTGTTCAGTGATTGTTGCTTTAGGAAGATGAGTAAAATAAATGTATCAGAGATGGGTCTTTGTCTTGTATTAGAAAAGTATTCATTTTTTTAGACTCATAAAAGACTTGCCTTGTTTGTATATAACAAGTTAGTAACAAAATTGGGCATTCCTCCTTTTATTTCTTCATCTTATATGCTAAATGCCTAAGTGTGAGTCTCCCCACCATCCCAATAGATGTCTCACTGTCTGTCTATATGAGGGGAGCTCTGGTAGCACAGTGGTTTCTATATGAGACCTGATGTTAGGATGTCAGATGGACCAAAATGCCTATTGGCTGATATTTTTCCCTTTTATGGAGCCCTGGTGTGGCACTATGGTTAATGCACTAGACTGCAAAGTTGGTTTGAACCACAAGTTCAGCAGTTCAAGCTTACCAGCCGCTCGTTAAAAATCCTATACAGGGTTGTCATGGGTCAGAAACCACTCTATGCCACTTAACAACAACAGTACTGAGCTGTCATCTTGGACAGGGGTTGGCAAACTACAGGTCTCCAGCCAAATGGGCCTCTCTGTCTGTATGAAGTTTTATTGGAACATAGCTATGCCTTTCATTACGTATTATATCTACCTACTTTTGTACTGGACTAGTGTGGCACTGTAGGATCAGCACCTGACTGCAAACTACAAGGCATTTAACAACAACAACATTTGTACTACAACACAAAGTTGATAGTGTACACAGTCCCTACCTAAAATACTTATTATCTGGCCCTTTAAGCAATAGTTTGCCAACCCTTGTTGTAACGGTTTCTTTAGTACTCTAGCATCTAGGGTTGGGATGCTAAGTCAGGGAGGCTACTCTCTGAATCTGCCTAGGTTTTCTCTAGTTCTAGTAAGGCAGCAGTGAGACAATTCACTGATAGTTTGATCTCCATCTTTCTCAGAAACTAATCCCCCTTTATCTCTCCATTCCTACTCTACCTCCCCTTCTCAGGATGAAAAGAGGCACAGAAGCCATCCTAAAGAGCTGTAAGTGGTTAAAATGCATGTGCCTTTTGTGCTGTATTGTGTGCCTTAACCGTAATTACTGAAATGCCTGTCGTAGAAACCTATGACAGTGTGAAGGTTACAGGTGTGCCATTCAAAGACTGAGTCTATACCTGTCCTTACCTTCCTCTTCTGGCAGCTTCCCATCACACCTTGCAGAATCACGCATGACTCATGCCTTCAAGCATCTCTCCTTAGGCCCCACATGTGAGGGGGCAGACAGTGCTTAAGAAGCCCATATTTCAGAATTGCAAGTTAGTAATCCCCTGCTTTGGTGCTGGATGTCTAACTGCAAGGCTGGCAGTTCAAACCCAGCAGCCTCTCCTTGGAATCCTTATCTAGAGCCGCAGAGTCGAAATTGACGAGATAGCACTAACCAACTGCAGCAGTGCCCCTTTAAGGAGCCCGACTGGTGCGGTGGTTAAGTGCTAGACTGCTAACCAGAAAGTTGACGGTTCAAACCATCAGCCACTCTGTGGAAAGTCGATGAGGCAGTCAGCTTCTGTAAAGATTGTAGCTTTGGAAACCTCATGAGGCAGTTCTCTGCCCTGTAGGGTCGCACTGAGTCGTAATTTAACAGGACTTTAGAGCTGCTGTAACAAGGGGGCTTCTTTTCTGTGTGTGCAGAATGTATTCCCCAGATCTGTCCTGAATATGTTCCTTTTTGGTGGCGAGTCATTAGTTGGTATTGTTGCTGTTAATTGTCAATCCACTTCGTTTTCCTGAGCTGATATTTGGTGTCTTTTTGTTTACATATCAGGACTGCCAAGCGGAGACCTGAAGAAAGGGAACCTGAGAGAGAAAACCCACAAGATGCTGATTCTGATGAAGATGAGGATGAACAGGTAAATCTCAGAAAAAAATTACCTTTTTACTATGAAAAGAATCAAGCATACAAAAAAGTAAGGAACCCCCATGCACTCGTCATGAATCTAACAGTTATCGGGTCAAGTGTGTGTCACTCATACCTCTCCCCATTCTCACCCCTGGCCCTGAATGATTCTGAGCAAATCCCAGACTGGCTTACTGAAGTCTTGATAGAAGTAGCTCTAAAAAAAAAGGACTCAAAACATCCACCTTACTACTGTAACCAGCCATCCCTAATAAAATGATATCAAAGATCTAGGAAATACTCAAATCTCCCTGATTGTCTCAATTTCTTTTTTTTAAAACCCCTTAAAAATTTGAATCAGGAGCTAAGCCAAATACAAGGTATTTGGTTGCTGTTTTTATCCTGAATGTCTTATCTGCAGTTTTTTCCCTTCATTTTGCATTGCTGTTTGCTGAAAATGCAGTGTTTTCCGGATTCCAGATTTTGCCAATTATGTCCCTCGGGTGCTTAGCGGAGGGAAAGCTGTGACAGCCTGTTCTCACAAAGACTAGCCTTGGCAACCCTATGGGGCAGTCCAATTCCATTCTGTAGGGTCTGAGTCAGAATTACCCAAACGCAACAGCAATGGGTTCGGTGGTTAGCATCTCCCTTTGTCCCTGTGTCTCCTGCAGACTGTTGTTGTTGTTAAGTGCCACCCAGTCGGTTCTGACTCATAGCAACCCTGTATGAGCAAGGTTGAGTTTGAACCTCCGTGGAGCAGCTGGTGGCTTTGAATCTGCACCCTTGTGGTTAGCAGTCCAATACTTATTCTCCAGCACCACACTAGTCCACCTCACCACATACTGGGTTTTTGTCCTTAAGAGTACTTGAGGTGCTGGCTGCCTGGTCTCATCCTTATCAAGTTCCCGCTTGGCTTCTACCTGAATGTGTTGTTTAGTCATTGCCTAAATCCATCCTTCACTGGGGTTGCCAAGGGTACTTCTGTCATTCCTTTGTTTACCTGAAATTATTCTCAAAACAAAATTTCCCCTCATCAGTTATTTATTCACCTTGAGGGACCTGTTTGGTATTGGAGAGCTAAGGCATTCTTTTTTTCTTTAATTCTCTTGTGAGTCCTTTGAGGACGTCTTTGATTATAAGATTTGTGATGAAAAGATTAAGATACTGAGGGGATGAGTCAGGTCTGCGCTTGCTACTTACTGTCCTCTTAATTAATGGATGTGTGATAATCAACTAGATAAAGGTGAGTTTTCCAGATGTTGAATGCTTGTTTACCTGCTCCTCCTCTTGTGTTTTCTCCATTTAGGAGGAGAAGAGACGCAAAACTACAAGCAAAGAACAGTAAGAGTTTGTTTCTTTATCTTAATACAGAGCAAGTCCTAATATGAAAACGATTGTTCTAGAAAATAACAGCAAGGGGTTCTTAGGGAATTGCAGGAGTCCGTATTGGGCTTGGTCTTTGAACGCAGGACTGAGCTATGATAAAGAACCACACTGAGGTGGGGCCATGCGCCCCCCTGCTGTAGTCACTGATGTCCATCCCCGGGCTAGATCAGGTATATGTCTGACAGTCTCAAATCGTCTCAAATGATGAACAAAATCATCTTGTGCTTTGTTCCCAGAAATGAGAAAAAAACACCTCGAACCAAATCCCTAGTGTTCTCCAAGGTAAGCTTTCTCTTTTGGATGAGCTTAATGTTCCTGAACAGTGTTGGGGGCGTGTTGAAGGGCTTTGGGGACGTGGACCCTGTCCTGTAGCGCAGCAGGGGGAGGCTGGCACAAGGTGATGGGTAGTAGTCTACAGGGAGTCAGAGAAGGCCTCCGCCCTAAAGATAGCCGAGCACAGGCCCAGGGATACCCGAGGACAAAGCACGCAGAAACAATGGCAGTATGTATTTCCTGAGGCCGCAGCAGTCTGCTCCCAGACTGGGAGAACAGTCGGATAGGTGAATAGTAATAACGGAGGAGGGACTAGGGAAAGAAAAGGCTTAACTTTGAACCTTTGGCACCTTTAGGGTGACTGGTGCAATCTGACATCATTGGTACGGAGTTTGACAGATGTTGAAACTAAGGTGTAGTATCAGCACCTGGAGGTGGTAGAAATAAGGAGCCAGGATGAGATTGTGCTGTGGGAGAGGAGGGAGAGGTTAAAACGTGGGGAAGGGCCAAGAGGCGTTGGCACCGCACATGGAAGTGAGGGAGCAGAGGCCGGTATGTCACACTGCAGGGGTTGAGAGAAGAGAGAGCGGCTTATTGAACTTGGCCCTCTGCCAAGTGTTGTTAAGTGCCGTCGACTCGGTTCCAACCCAAAGCGACCCTGTATTTGGTTTCTGAAGAGCGACTGGTGCTGCTGCCCTTACTGTTCAAACCGACCTTGCAGTCCAGCACATTAACCTGCATCATCACACCAGGGCCTCCTGAGAGGTGATAGAGGAGAGAAAAGAGACCCTATCTTCAAAGAAATCAATCTTACAGACTATTAAGTCTTAAATAGGAGTAAACACATGGCAAAGGGAAACATGGGTCACCCAGGTGAGGGAAATCAGACACCAGGATGAGTTCCAGAGTTCTGTCTCTCCTGATGACTTTCTCTGGGGCTTGGGGACCAAAGAGCCCTTCTCCCACAGTACACAGGCTGGGCCTGTGGAAGCAGATAGGAAAGCTTACAGTCTCTGAGGTTCTTGGGGTGCAACATCCCAACCAGGTCACCATTAAGGGAAGAGGTGTGTCCAGGAATGTTCTGAGGCCTGTCTGGGAGTTATTGTTGTTAAGTGCCTGTCTGGGAGTAGTAGCCCCAAAACCTACTTTTAAATATGCTATTTCTACCTCTGGCAGTTCAGCTGTCAGAGATGCATACGATACTCAAAAAAAATTGGCATCTGAACAGTTACACGTAAGCACAAGATGGAATTAAGCTGTGCCTAGCTCGAGTTGGTCACAGGCCAAAGGTCTCCAGATTCTGTGCTTTTCAGCACTGGTCATTGCTGGCAGAGTGAGAGCAGCAGTGCCTTCCTTCAAAAGCTGCAGGTGTGCTAACGAGGACAGGAGCCAGAAAGGCCTGCTCAGTCAGACCTGTCTCCGGAACCCCTTATCACCTCCAGCTCTGCCTCTTTATAGTCTCTTGTTTCTGTGTCCCAGAGTGCTTCATAGTGATTCTTTGTTACATTTACCAAAACACGAGGCATGAACCAAAATCTACAACTGCTTTCACTAGATCGTTGGCTCCCTACCTGGGCTGATCCTGAACCCTAAGCCATTCAACAATATCTGGAGACATTGGCTGTCAGGATCGAGTGTGAGGCAGTGAGGGCATGTGTGGGCTGCTGCTCAGCTCCCCAACCTCGAGAGACTCACCCGACTCACACTATTAGTAGTGTTGTGGGTGAGAAACTCTGCTCTAGGTTATATTTAAGTAGTCACTGTTACATTTTTTTACTATAATACTTTTTCTTTAATTAAAAAACATGATGACAAAAAGACTTGCATAAAAATGTAAAGCCATATCACTCGTAATAAGCAGAAATTGGAATAACCCAAGTGTTTATTAGTGGACAGTCAAGCTTGTCCATTCATGCAGTGACACTGTCAAAGAAACCTTATACTCTGAGGAGGGAAAGAAAAGGTTTTTTGATTTTTACGGTTTTTATTGTGAATTGAGTGATAGTTTACATGGGAGAACATCAGTTTTACACTTATCCTTATTTTGTTTCATTGCAATGATTACAATCCCCTCCATGCATCATCATTCAATAGTATTTGCTTCTATACCTTCTGTTTATGTTATTTTTTGAATGTATACAAAAACACTCAGGAATATATAATCATTTAAACAACCAACCAAAGGGCATATTCTGCAAGCCTGCCTCCTGGTCGCTAGCACACAGCCTTTTTCTTTCCATGAGTCTGGAGTCCTCAGCTGCTCTATCTCTCCATGTCCTCATCTCTGTCTCTATCTCTGGTGTCGCTGCTTCTCTGGATAGGGTCCCACATTCCCTTCCTCTCTTTTCCCTTGATGGTCCTAGGATCCTCTGTTCCTAGACTGTAAGATTAACTACTCCCCCCTTTCTGTTACAAAACTTCCACCTTTACAGTTGTGACAATTGTAATTAGTCACGATAACAATTATTCACTAAGAAAAAGTTTTGTTGAGGAATAATACTGCTCTAAGTAAATACCTGGTGTGGTGAAGTAGGATAAGCACTTAACTGTGAACCACGAGGTTTGTGGTTTAAACCCACCAGCTACTCCTGGGAAATCCTGCACAGGGTTGCTGAGTCAGAATTGACTCTACGGCACTTAACAATGACAAGAAGTAGTGAAAACCAGCTGATCCGCAGAAGAAATATGAAGTTTACTGCTTCTGTAAAGTCTATACAGTCTTGTTATGAGTCAGAATGGACTGGATGGCAGTATGTTTGGTTTGGGTTTTAAGTAAAAACACAAAATACTCCATCTTTTTATATACAAAAAGAAAAAAGGAGAGGTAGGAGACTGACGGTGGATCGTGTGGCTTCCCAACTCTTTGCCACATAAAGGTTGGCCACTAATCTAGGCAATAGTGAGTGGTACCCTGGTGGTGTAGTGGCTTAAGGGTTGGGCTGCTAACCTCAAGGTCAGGCTAGTGGTTCAAACCCACTAGCCGCTCCATGAGGCTATCTGTTCCCATAAAAGCTTAGTGTCTCAGAATCCCAGGCGAGCAGTTCTACTGTCTCTTACAGAGTTGCTATGAGTCAGAATAAACTCAATGACAATGTGTTGAGTGATATTCATGAACACGTTTTTTTCTTCTGGGAACAATTTGTTTACATCTTGGCACATAGCTCCTAAATGGTTTACATCCTGGTCTTTTGTTTCCTGGGAATGCCCGTCAGGCCCCATCATTCTTAGGTCTGACAGGAGGACTTCCTGTTGGAAACTCTTTTGTGTACAGGACACCACCCTTAGCAATAAAAAAGAATAAACTCGCGATAACACAGAACAGCGTGGATGAACCTCAGAAAGTATTATGGTGCATGAAAGTATTTGACATATAAGAGGAGTACTGCAGTATGTGCTTTTTAATGTCTGATTCCATCATGCATCATAATATTTTCTCAGAGTCATGGTGTGGCACCCTGGACTGCAAGATTGGTTTGAACCATAAAAGTCAGTGGTTCTGACTCACCAACCACTCCTTAGAAACTGACTGTATACAGCAGGGGTGGGGAACCTTTTTTTCTGCCAAAATTTATAACTGCATTCTCAGGCCAAACAAAATTATGAACTTAAAAATTAGCCTGCTATATTTGGTCAAACATTCAATGAACTCACCCCTAATGTGATGGCTGGAACTGCGGTTGCCTTGGCAGGAGACCAAATGGTTCCGAGGACCTTATACGGCCTTACGACCAGATGTTCCCCTGCTCCCCTTCCCTGCTATACAGGGTCGCTGTGAGATAGAACCAACAACATGACATTCTTCACAGACAGAACTAAGCCAGGGTGATAGAAACTGTACCATGGGCTACCATTCAGAGTTGAGAACTGGCTAGAGAGTGGTACCAGGGAATTCCTTATGGGGACAGAAGCCTGTCTTCATGGGGTGTGAGGGCATGTGAGTGGGTGTTTGTCAAACCATACACTTAGAAAATAAGAATATTGTGTGCAGATTACCTAAATTAAATTCTTTCAACAACTCTTTTAGGGTTATCTGTTAGATCTTGAGCATTATTTTGCAAAGTTTTGTATGTTGAATATTCTTACATAGTTGATGCTTGTGAGCTCTTGAATAGAAATAAGTAGTTCTCCAAATAATGAATGGCAAATTGTGGCACTGTTAGATCAGCACTGGGCTGTGAGCCACAAGGTCAGCAGTTCAAATCTACCAGCCACTCCTCAGAAGCCCTATCAAGGGCCACTGTGAGTCGGAACTAACTTGACAGCACTTAGAAAGAGTGCTATATTTATGAAGATTAAATTAGGAACAATATTTATTCTCTCTTTACCCGTACATTTACCCAAAGCAATTAGTAAACGCATTAAGGCTAAAATTTCAAGAAATTGAATTTATAAAGCAAATCAAGGATGCCTTTGGGGATTTGGGTTTCCCTTGGTGCTACTCTGAGGACTGCTTAATAAAATCCAATGTGGTGCCGTCGTGGCATAAGTGGATGTCTGGGAATGAACTGGTGCAGTGCTAATAAGGGTGCTGGGAGTCCTCTGAGTGCATTTATGTTTGTGCTCCTGCAGACCAACTCCCCGAAGTGTGTTCTGTGTGGACAGTGCTTGGACGATCCTGAACTCAAGTATGTCCAGTATCTCCTGGATGCGGTGAGTGGAGCAAACCTAGGTTTCCAGCCCTGCTTTCTGCCTGCGTCCTCCTGCCTCACGGTGTGCTGTCTTGCAGGTGGACGAGCCACAGATGCTGACCTATGAGAAACTGTCCATCTTCGATGACAGCGAGTCTGGCTTTGAGAGCTATGATGCTCTTCCCCAGCACAAACTGACATGCTTCAGGTAACTGCGGTCCTTTCATTCATGTGCTTACTTCCTTGTAGCCAGGCACTCTCCTGAGGACTCCTAGGTTGTTCTTATCTCAATTCACACCTCAGCCTGCAAAGTCTCTTCACCTAATAGCACTTCCGTGAATCAGCCACAAAGTTGGAGGGTGGGGAGAGGGGAGACTATGTACAGTAGACCCTTGCCAGGCTTTTTTGGGTTTTTTTTTTTTTTTTTTTTTTGTCGTTAATATTATGCGTATTAAACCCTAAGTCTGTGTACATCCTGAGGTCACTTCTCCCCTGGGCTTGGTGCTAATTCTGCTGTGGGAAAAGCAGTGTAGGTTGCTGCTTGCATGGGGATTGGAAGGGACCAAGTTACACGTAACTAATAGCACATGGGAAGCAGAGGGCGAGGAGGTGAGAAAGGCTTTCTGCTTAGATGGAGGGTAGGGACTTGAAGAAAGACCCTCAGTGGCATCTGAACAGGTTGAGGGGATGACTGGGGAAGAGCACGCAGGTAGCAGGATGGTGGTGGGAGTGCTGATGAGGCCGCGGTGGCTGGGGCGGTGGCTGGGGCAGCATGCGGGCGGGCAAGTGACTGCACCAGTGACTGTCTTTAGGTGAATCCTGAGGGAGCAGAGCTCCCGGCCCTTCAGCTCCTTCATGGGGCACTGTGCCCGTTCACTTTAAGCGCTGCCCCCTGAGACGCTGAGCTTGGATTCTTTGCTGGAAAACATTTCCAGGAACAGCCTGTATTGCCTTTCAGGCCTCCACATGGGATTCCTCCTCCCTACTAAAGTTAGAGTCTCGGTGTTGCTCTGTAGGATAAGAACTGGACTGCTAACCCCAAGGTTGGCGGTGCAAACCCACCAGTCACTCCTTGAAAACCCTATGCAGGATGGCTGTAAGGTGGATCAATGGCACTTCACAGCAACAACAGAAGAGAGAGGTGTCCCTGGGAAGGGCCAGTGAGTAACACTGAAGTGCTCTGGAAGGCTGCTGGTTTGTGTTTCCTCCGAGGCACCTCAGAGGAAAGGCCTGAGGATTACTCGGACATACGTGGGGTGGTCATAAGTTGGAATCGACTCTGGTGACTGCTTACCAGAGAAGATGGCGGGAGTCACCTCATGCCCACACCAAGTCAGAGGAGGTTCTGAGCCCGCTCTGTGTGTTCTTCGGCAATCACACACTCCCTTGTGGGCACTTCTCCCCTCGTGAGTGGGATGGTGTCTCAATGGCAGGGACCCTGAGGGCCAGCTTCCTCCCTCTGACGCATGCACAGGTGAAACGCAGGCTGTTGGCAATGTGATTCCTGCCTTTGGCACTCGCGACAGACTTTGGAAAGCAACCAGAGACCTGAGGTCAGGGTTTGGGGCCATTTGACTTCGTCCTTGAGGCAGGGTCTTAAGAAGACTAATGCCTGTCAGATGGAATAGTGGCATTGAGGACCCCCTTCCCAGGAATCCTGCAGGGTTAAGCCAATAATATGCACCTTCTACGCTTGTTGTCAGAATTGCATCTGCAGCCCCCTTCCCTCCCCTCCCCTCCCACCGCAAGGTACTTTTTGTAAGTGGGTTTATGCTAACTTTTTTACTACAAAATTAGTGTAGTGTTTACCACTGGGGCAAACACACATCAAATATGTGTATGTGATCCCCTAGCACAAAGGCACTGGAGCCAGACAGCCTGCGTTGTTAGGTGACTCTGCTTTTCTTGAGTATTTGACTTGGAAGAGGTGATGAGAACAAATCTTAGGTAGGGCTCATACTGGGAACTAGTGGATCCTGCCCCTCAGGGGACTCGGAGCTTCTCCAGTGTCACCTCTACTGAGCAAGCAACCTGTTAAATTAGGAACTGGGTGGGATCCCATGGTGGTCGTGTGCAGACCCATTCTGGGCAGGCCTCGCAGAAGCCCCCGTTTGCCTGCTCCTCCGCCCACTCCGCAGGCTCCTATGGCTCGGTGTGGAGATGTGTACCCACCAGCTCATCTGTACAAGCTCGTTTTCCCACTGGACTTTTTAGTCCTGAGGTCAGGGTTGTGACCCATAGCTCCCACGCCAGGCATACAGGAGAAGAGATAAATGCAAAAAAAAGTCTGGGATTCAAAGCTAAAGAATTTCTGCCTTTTAACGACTAGATGGTGTGGGGAGGGGTGCTCTCCTGAGACTACCAGTCCCACGTGGCTGGTGTGGGGGTCCCAAGGGGTGACATGGCCCTCTGCTGGGGTGACCCTGCTGGTTGGGAATGGGTGGTCCTTGGTCCTTGAGGCTAGCATGAGCTAGTCAATGAACAGAAACCCCAAGTTCCTGTCTTCCCTTTTCTGAGCTCTGGCGTCCTGCCTCCTGCAAGTTGTCATCAAGTGAGGAACGTCCCGGATTGCTGAGCATCACGTGGGTTCCGTCCTTGCATATGAAATGTAGTCTCCAAAGGCAAGCCAGGGCCCTCCTTCCCACAGTGCCGCAGTACTTCCTTAGCTCCGTCTGTTGTACAGCGAGTTTGGGCACTATGTGCTGAGGGGAGGACATAGTGAATTGTTTCCTGCCTCCATTGTGTGAGACCCTGCTCTCCTGTCTTTCTCATTGAGTGCACCGTGGTTCACTTTGCAGATACGTGCTCCCGAATCACACACAGCTTGGAAAAGCTGTGGAAGCGTTGTCTGAGTGACCACACACTGTACTAACAGTGTTTCAGCATCCTAAATGATTGCCGAGTCTAGGAATCGAACGTAGTCCTCGTGTCTGATGGTAACTGTTTGCTGTGGCCTGCCTTCACTGGCTCTCTCTTGTCTCTCTAGTGTGTACTGTAAGCACGGTCACTTGTGCCCGATTGATGCCGGCCTCATTGAGAAGAATGTCGAGCTCTGCTTTTCTGGCTCAGCAAAACCCATATATGATGATGACCCCTCTATTGAAGGTCAGTAGAGCTGCTTCCGGATTCTGTGTAGGAGAAACAGGCAAAACTCAAAAGTAAAATTCAGATGGAATGACTGTCTCTTAGAGTTGTACCTTGAGTTTGGTGCTTTGAGCCAGCTATAAGTAAAATCCCTCTGAGGACCACCTGGCCCAGTTGATAAGAAATGTCAGCTGAGTTGGGGGCTCACAGTATCACTCAGTTGTCTGGGTTTTTGGTGTGAGTCTTAGCTCTTGGTCTATTGGCAAAGTGATTTTTCTTCTCCTTAGGTGGTGTGAATGGCAAAAACCTGGGCCCCATCAATGAATGGTGGATTACTGGCTTTGATGGAGGAGAAAAGGTCCTGATTGGCTTGAGCTCCTGTGAGTATCTGAGGAGGTGGAGCCTCCTTCTGGAAACAATCACAGGGCCTCCCAGCCCCCCCCCCCCCCCCACCCCCCACCCCGAGCTGCCTGGGCTCTAGTGTGAAGTCTCTCTCAGCAGGCCTGCTGAAAGTTCCACATGAGGGACTATGCTGGAACCATACTGCGTTGAGTTGGGATGATAGCCTCTCATGTGCACTAGGGCAGTCCTGGTCTGCGTCTCAGGTTATATGAGCAGGGCATATTCTTGCCACTTAAACCCTGAGCAAATATCTAAAACCACAGGCAAGGTGAAATCAAAGCCCACTCAATTCTGTCCCAGTTTTCTAGCCAGTCCAGATAGCCACTTCAGAATGCGCTAACTCCGATGCATTCTACTTTGCACTTTAACATTTGAACACAGTCTTATTTTTAGACTATTCTGTAATCCTGATGCACTCATCACTGCCCTGCGGTGTCTATAGGTGCTGTTGTGCTCAAACAGCTTTAACAAACGTTCTCTCTTCACTGCAGCGTATGCTGAATACATCCTGATGGAGCCCAGCCCCGAGTATGCCCCGATCTTTGGACTGATGCAGGAAAAGATCTACATCAGTAAGATAGTAGTCGAGTTGCTGCAGAACAATCCTGATTCTACCTATGAAGACTTGATCAATAAGATTGAGGTAAGAGAGTTCAGTTCTTTATCATTTAGGATTCATCTAGTTCTACAAATACAGTCAGTCCTCTGTATCCCAGGTACCACATCCCAAGATTCAACCAACCTTGGATGAAATTTTTAGGGGTGGGATGTGAATTAAGTTGTTACACCAATCCCTCAAAGGCTAAGCGAGATCTTGAAGTGCTAATCATAGAGCACTTGCATTAAGTGTTATAAGTAATCTAGAGATGACTTAAAGTTTATGGGAAAATGGGCAAGGAGTCCTGATGGCATGCTGTAGGATAAGCACTGGACTGTTAACCATAAGGTGAGTAGTTCAAACCCACCAACTGCTCCTCAGGAGACAGACGTCTAGTCCTGTAAAGATTAACCATCTCAAAAACACTGCATATAGGGTTGTTATGAGTTGGAATCAAATCCAAGACAGTGGGTTTGGTTTTTTGGTTTAGGAGGATGGGTACCACTTTTATGTTAATATTATGTCATTTGATAGAAGGGACTTGAGCATCCTGGGATTTTTTAAATTCGTGGGCTCCTAAACCCCATCCTGGGGATGCCGAGGTATAGAGATGTTACTCGAGAGCTCATGTCTACAATCAATAGAAACCATTGCTCAGTTGGATTGAAACAATTTGCCTTACATATAAGAGAAACTTCTTGTTTTTCCTTTTCTTTTTTTTAAAGACCACTGTTCCGTCTTCTGCACTCAACCTGAATCGGTTCACAGAGGATTCTCTCCTTCGCCACGCCCAGTTTGTGGTGGAACAAGTTGAGAGTTACGATGAGGCTGGAGACAGTGATGAGCAGCCCATCCTCCTGACAGCCTGCATGAGAGACCTGATCAAGTTGGCTGGGGTCACCCTCGGCCAGAGGTAAGGAAAGTGCAGCAGCAAACGGACGCCGTGAGAAGGCAGGGCTGCTGGGGCCGCTCCTCAGGCTCCCGCTCAAATGGTGCAACCTCTTTCCCAGACGAGCCAAGCGGCGTCGGACCATCCGACACTCTGCCAAGGTGAAGGACAAGGGGCCCACCAAAGCCACCACCACCAAGCTGGTCTACCAGATCTTTGACACTTTCTTCGCTGAGCAGATTGAGAAAGATGACAAAGAGGACAAGGAGAATGCGTTTAAACGTCGGCGCTGTGGTGTCTGTGAGGTAACCTCGCCCAGCCCAGCTCCTGGCCTCTGTCTCTGTGACTTGACAACTCTCACTGCTCCAATGTGAGGAATTCGGGTCCAGGGAACATGCTGTCACAGCCTTCTAAAGAGAAGCGCTCTTGGTGCTCTGCTGTTACTGCCACCGTCATTAACTGAAGAAGAGCGGGGGCCTTCCTGGGGGGCTCTTGCTCCCGCACTGCCTGGAAGCCCCCACTGTAAGTGCTGAGGCAGTGATTTCCCCCAAGGAAAGGAGTTCCTCCTGAGAGCCAGTCCTGTCGCATGGCGTAGCTTTCCTGGGCAGGCAGGCACATGCTCAGAGTTAGACATGAGCCTGGAAAAGACCTCTTTTTCCTAGCCATCTTTACTTCCACGGGGAGGTATCTTTACTACTGTGAGGCACTGTCAAGTCCCTTCCTACTCAGCAGCCGCACGTACAGCAGAGTGGAACCCTGCCCCGTCCTGCACCCCCCTCACAATTGTTATGTAAGGGCCCATTGTTGCGGGCACTGTCCGTCCATCTCATCACGGACTAATTGTTCTTTAAGTGCTATGGGGTCAGTTTCAGCTCATAGCAACCCTGTACAGGGTTTCTGAGGAGCAGCCGGTGGGTTTGAACTGCCAGCCTTGCTATTAGCAGTCCAGTGCTTATTGTGTTGGTGGTTATGTGCCGTCGAATGGGTTCTGACTCAAAGTGACCAACTGTTTCTGAGGTTGTAAATCTTTACAGGAACAGAAAGCCTCATCTGTCTCCTGCAGAGGGTAGATTTGAACTGCTGACCCTGCAGTTAGCAGACCAACATATAACCCACTACCAGTGTTTATGTTGTTGTTGTTAAGTGCTGTCTAGTTGATTCCGACACATAATGACCCTGTATAGGGTTTCCGAGGAACAGCTGGTGAGCTTGAACTGCTGACCATGCAATTCTCAAGCAGCTTTGAAGTCTGGTGCATTAACCCACAGCGCCACACCAGGGTTTCCCCAGTGCTTATAGCTTCCCCCAATCTGCTGCACAAGACCATGGTAAAGTGCTGAAGAGCAGAGATGTCAGCTTGAGGACTAAGGTGGGCCTGGCCTAAGCCATGGTATTTTCAATTACCTCATATGCATGTGAAAGCTGGACAGTGAATAAGGAAGGCCATAGAAGAATTGATGCTTTTGAGTCATGGTGCTGGAGGACAATATTGAAAGTGTCATGGGCTACCAAAAGAACCAATAGATCCGCTTTGGAAGAAGTGCAGCCAGAGTGCTCCTTAGAAGCCAAGATGGCCAAACTTCGTCTCTCATACTTCGGACAGACTGTCAGGAGGGACCAGTTGTTGGAGAAGGATATCATGTTTGGTAAGGTTGAGGGTCAGAGAAAAAGAGGAAGACCCCCATCGAGGTGGATTGGCCAAGTGTGGCAACAGTAGTGAGGTTGGCTCAGGAAAGGGCAGTGTTTCATTCTACTGTGCATAAGGTCGCTGTGGGTCGCTACTGATTCGATGACACCTAACAACAGCAATATGATCAAGGGGAGTCCGGGTATAACACTGTGGGTTAATGGCGCTGGATGCAAAAGTCAGTTTCAGTGACCATATTCATTACCAATAAGGGGAAGTGAGGGAAAAACAGCAACGAAGCTGTGAGCTAAGCCCTACAACGTTCAATAGACTCCTGTGAACCCGGGTGAAGATCTGGTCGGCCAGCAGTGTGGCAAGACCTGGGGACTCTTGGGCCCAGAGACAGTGACATAGCCACAGAGGACTAGAGTGGAGAGTGAAGTGTCCAGCTGATAAGAAGAGAGGGCATATGCACAAGAACACCCACACTTGCAAATAATACCCACTTGTCCTGGCTTCAATGACTGGATGATCAGAGCTCAACTAGAAGAAGAAAGAAGAGGAAAAAAAGAGTAATCTGATACAATTTGTTGAATTTGACCTACACCTATGGATGCAGTAACTCAAATGAGGGAACAAATCTTTACAGCAAGGATCATTCCCACCCCCTCCATAAACAGAGTAGACAGGGATGGGCAACTTGGACATTGGCTACCCAAAATGGGGGTGCTACAAGGGCAAGAAGTGACTGGCTTATAAGCTTTCAAGACAGAACCTAGATCCAGAGGAAGGTAGAATCTCCACTGAGTAGTATCCAATCTGTCTAGATGGGGCTGATGAAAGGAGATAAGCATAGGTCTCTTGTGATACAATAGTGAATAATTGTTATCAGGACTGACTGTGAGGGTTGGAAATGTAAAGGTAGACATTTTGTAGCAAGGAGGGGAGTGATTAACTTTTCAGTCTAGGAGTGGAGGTCCCTGGGACCATCAAGGGAGAAGAGCGGAGAGCAGGACCCTACCCAGAGAAGCAGTGATGCCTGAGATGGAGGCAGAGATGATGACATGGAGCAATGGAGCGGCTGGGGACTTTAGACACAGACAGGGAGAAGGGGCTGTGTGCTGACGACCGGGAGGCAGGCTTGTAGTGTATACCCTTTGGTTGGGTGATGATGCATGGAGGGGATTGTAACCATGGCAATGAAACGATATACGATACGATGAATGTAAAACTAATGTTCTCCTATGTAAATTATCACATAATTCACAATAAAACAAAAATACAGTCAGTTTAAATCGGAAGGTTGGTAGTTCAAGCTCACCAGCTGCTCCTCAGGGTCACTATGGGTCGGAAATGATTTGACAGTACTTAGCCACAAAAATATGATCCAGGAGTCTTGGTGTGGCACTGTAGGGTAAGCACTTGACGTCAAGGTCAGCTTGAATCACAAGGTTGGCAGTTCAAACTCACCAGCTGCTCCTTAGAAACCCTATACAGAGTCATTGTGAGTCAGAACTGACTCGATGGCACTTCACAGTAACAACAGTGTGATCCCGAGATTGGGTATGTTCTGGTATCTGTTACTTGGCGTCTTTTGCACTTTCATGCAGACAGAGGCCAGTGCAGCAGCTGCCGCAGAAATGTCTATTGTGCTGCCCTCCTGGGCTGGAGGTTTGTCCTTGGTTCTTCAGTGGCAGCCCTAACAGATTTACATGTTCTCACGTTTCTGGTTTTATAGTTGTTTTTTATTTATCACATTCATACCAACTATTTGTAACTTTCTAAACTATTTCCCCCCCCTCCAAAAAAAGTACCTGGTGTTATTTGCAGCTGTGTGATGTGTTGATTCAGGTAGAGGTAGTGCACTTGTTTGAACTTGTCCATAGTGTTTTATTATACGAACACCTCACTTACTCCTGATGGGCAGCGTTGATTCGTCACATGCTGCTGTGATGACGTCCTTGAAAATCGGTGTCTTGCGAATGTCTCTACTTAGAGAAGTGGTATGGCTGGCTGGGTGTGTATATTTAACTTGGGTGCAGAAAATTGCACCCAGATGTGTTTGCTGTGCCCCACACCTGTGCTGGTGCTACAAGGCAGATTCTTGACTTTTCAAACTGTAGGGTCTGACTGGTATCTCGTTTTTCTTATCCGTGTTTTAAATACTTTAATTTGCCAAAAGAGCTGGTTCCTGTTACTAGGAGCTGTTTATTTTAGTTGTTGCTGTCACAGAATGGTTCCGCAGGGAATAGCTTTAAGAACAGAAACAGATTCTCTTCCAGCTCAGGGGGGTGCTCTAGGGGAGGGCCTTCTTTGTTGGTGTTGGTGTTAAGTGTGGTTAAGTCAGTTCTGACTCATAACGGCTCTGTATAGAATTCCCAAGGAGCGACTGGTGGGTTTGAACCACCAACCTGGCTGGCAGCCCTTGGTGCCGTGGTTATTGTCATGTGACATCTGTCGTTCCCCCCCTTCCCCATCTCTGGGTCTCTGCTCCTCTCTATAACTCAGGGGTGATCAGATATAGGATCCGCCCTATATTGCTAGGGGTTAGGATTCCAACACACTGTTGAGGGACACAGTCCCCCATAGACAACTGTCGGTAAGCTTCTTTAATGGTATTTTCTAGGTTTGTCAGCAGCCCGAATGTGGGAAGTGTAAAGCCTGCAAGGACATGGTTAAGTTTGGTGGCAGTGGACGTAGCAAACAGGCTTGTCAAAAGAGGAGGTAGGTGTGGCCAACTTTTCCTCGCAGTCGGGAAACTACTAGCTGGTGGGAAATGGAGGGGTCCGGAGGGGCTTTTCTGTGGGAATCGAGCTACAGGATCTCTTTGTAAGGTTGTCACAGGCGTATTCCTGGCATCTGAGCCGCAGTTGACTTTTGTTTATAAAAGAGGATTTCCTTGTGGGCTAGGAATTGTGGGAAGAAACTTGAGTTCCCTAGTCAACCCTAAAACCTAACAAGTGGCTTTGCAGGTGTCCCAATATGGCCATGAAGGAGGCAGATGACGATGACGAAGTCGATGATAATATCCCAGAGATGCCATCACCCAAGAAAATGCATCAAGGGAAGAAAAAGAAACAGAACAAGAATAGGATCTCTTGGATTGGAGAAGCTGTCAAGGTAATCTTGAGGGAAGATTCTCCATTACTGGTGTCTTGCCCACCAGACCTCGTCAGCAGCCTGAGCCTGGAGCTTAGAGGCCTGCTCTTCTCGTCTGCCCTCTAAGAGAGCAGGACCACCAGAAACATGCCCCTAAGGCTCAGCTTTCCTGACAGTACAATGGCCAGTAGACAGAGTTCTGGGGGCCTGGGCACTGGCAGATTGTCACCCAGTTGTTTGATGTCACCAGGGTCAGGTTCCTGTACCTGGAGAGAAAATGCCCTTTTGTCATTACTTCTTCCATGTCAGTAAAACCAAAGATGCATTCAGCTCACTTAATAGACGTGAGCCTCCTGCTCCCTGCCCGTGCTGCTGTAAGCCCGGGAGGGACATGGCGGGGACATGCAGGTAAGACCCAGGACTGATGCGCCAGTGTTGGAAGAAGGCAGACACACACACACTGTCGCATGGTGTGTGCCACAGCAGAACACGGCAGGGGAGAGGGATGGAAGGGGCGGAACGTTAGAAAGGTCAGGGAGGAACCCCTACAAAGGTCCTGAGGTGGGAGGACTGACAAGCAGGAGAGGAGCTAGGAGGCAGAATCAGGCCTTATAGACAGACCATGGGAAGGTGTTATGGATGCTGTTCATTCATATCTGACATGGGAATTTAGGTTGCTGCCAACAGGAAGGCAGAGGGTGCGTTTTGGCTGCTGGTGTCCAGCCATGGGGAGTGGCTGTTTCCATTGGGAGTCAGGCCCAGAGAACATCTGATTTCCTAATGACGATGTCATTGATGAATTATGATTGTACATAAAGTAACAGAAGACCACACAGGTCAGTTCTAACGCAGACATTCAAAATGATCCTCAAAACCCTGAAACATTCTTGTTTTCAGACTGATGGGAAGAAGAGTTACTATAAGAAGGTATGCATTGATTCGGAAACCCTGGAAGTGGGGGACTGTGTCTCTGTTAGTCCCGATGATTCCTCAAAACCGCTGTATTTAGCAAGGTTCGTACCCTCCCTTTGCATGACTTCAGCCACGTCTAAGTAGAAGATATATAGTTTGTTAAGTCTAGCAGCAACAGCACCTCTTGGCTCTAAACTCAAACCAGATGATAGTAGGTTCAGTCACGTGCCTGCTTGTCAAGTTAGAACTGTCTTCCCCTTCTCCTCTCCCAATTCCAGAGTCACGGCCTTGTGGGAGGACAGCAGCAATGGACAGATGTTCCATGCCCACTGGTTCTGCGCTGGGACAGACACCGTCCTGGGAGCAACCTCAGACCCTCTCGAGCTGTTCCTGGTAGATGAGTGTGAAGACATGCAGCTTTCTTACGTTCACAGCAAAGTGAAGGTGCTGTATAAAGCCCCGTCGGAAAACTGGGCCATGGAGGTGAGAGCTGACCCCGTTGCCCAGGCCCCTGCTTCGTTGCATGGGCTTATGGCCAACACCATGTCCTTCTCACCAAAGGGAGGCATGGATCCTGAGCCCATGATGGCAGAGGATGATGGGAAGACCTATTTCTACCAGTTGTGGTACGATCAGGACTATGCAAGGTTTGAGTCTCCTCCAAATATGCATCCGACGGAGGACAACAAGCACAAGTGAGTGTCGGCCCTGGGCACCTCTGTGTCCCTCCGTGTGACCCTGTTCTGTTGCACACAGGATGACATGCTCACTGCTGGATCACTCTAGCTCTTCGGGAGCTTCCATCAGGGAGCTGGTTTCCCTCTGCCTCCCCTTCCCACCCCGCTTTGTCTTCTTGACAACCAAAGACCAGCCTGCTTGTGTTGCGTTGCCTACATGTGGAGCTAACCTGGAGAAGCTACTTGTGCAGCAAGTTTTCATAACCAAGAACAGGCCACAGCTTAGTTGGAAGATTTTCTGTGTGTGCTTCAGAGCGTACATGTCTTCTTTCACATCTTAGGTGTTTTCTCCTATATGTGAGAGTTCTTACTTCATTTTCTTTCACTTGGGCAGAACTTTTCCCTAGGGTTTTCAAAGCTGTATATCTTAATGGGAGCAGACAACCTCATCTTTCTCCTACAGAATGGCTGATGACTTCATGGTTAGCAGCCCAACACAACCTACAACATCTGCACAACGCTACCAATGTTTCTTTCTAAGTGGGGGGTGGAAGTTTTAAGGAGACTTCTATCTTCTCAGTGTTTTGTTCCTACCCCTTCCTTTCTAGCCTGTATACCTGGCTTGTTTGGTGTAGAAGCGTCAGCAGGCGCCCCCAGAGCAGAGCACAGCAGTAATGATGACAGGGAAGGGCAGGCAGGGTGCCCTGAGGCTGCTGGGATTTCTCCCATCCACCTGCTATACTGACTGGCTTTGACTTCTATTTGTAAAGTTGTCTCCTTCTATCAAGAAGAGTGTAGAATCGGGGTAGACAGGGATGGGCAACTTGGACATTGGCTACCCAAAATGGGGGGCTACAAAGGCACGAAGTGACTGGCTTACAAGCTTTCAGGAGGGAGCCTAGATCCAGAGGGCGCAGGGGAAGGTAGACTCTCCATTGAGTAGTATCCAGTCTGTCTGGATGGGGCTGATGAAAGGAGATGGGAATAGCACTTGTGATAAAATAGTGAATAATTGTTATCAGGACTGACTGTGAGGGTTGGAAATGTAAAGGTAGACGTTTTGTAGCAGAAGGAGGGGAGTGGTTGACTTTGCAGTCCAGGAGTGGAGGTCCCTGGGACCATCAAGGAAGAAGAGTGGAATGTGGGACCCTACCCAGAGAAGCAGTGATGCCTGATATGGAGGCAGAGAAGATGACGTGGAGAGATGGACCCAGAGAAGGAGAAGGGCTGTGTGCTGATGACCGGAGGGCAGGCTTGCAGTATATACCCTTTGGTTGGTTGATGATGCATGGAGGGGACTATAACCATGGCAATGAAACAATATGCGATAGGATGAATGTAAAGCCAATGTTCTCCTATGTAAACTATCACATAATTCACAACAAAACATTTTTTTTTTTTTTTTAAATGAAGAATGTAGAATCTTATCAAGGGCCTTTTAGCCTTAACAGAGATCATGGCATGAGCCTCTTCTGCCATATTAATGTAGAAACGTACATTGAGTTCTCCTAGGACCACCGCTTGCGTTCTTGCTTATGGTGGATTGTTAGCTATAGTCTGAATCTGTTGGTCAATGTCATAAGATGTTTGTATTGATTACTCAAAAGTTGGGTTTGTTGCAGTGTTCTTGGTGTTGATGTGATATCTGAGTTTTGGTTCCAAATTAAGTGCTTTCAGTAGTATGAGGTAAAGTTATAAGAAAGGTACTTCCTTCACTGAACATCCAGTGATACCTCATTGTGGTTACCCAAACCTCTGGTGAAGCCGGTGGCAGCTAGTCACCACGGCCCCCTCAGGGCTTGCTTTCTGTCCTTCATTCATCCCTTTAGGTTCTGTGTGAGCTGCGCCCGTCTTGTTGAAATGAGGCAAAAAGAAATCCCCAGGGTCATGGAGCAGCTTGAGGATCTGGACACCCGGTTCCTCTACAAATCCGCCACCAAGAATGGCACCCAGTACCGGGTGGGAGATGGTGTGTACCTGCTGCCCGAGGCCTTCACATTCAAGTGAGTAGCTCCCGGGGCCCATTCGGAAATGGGAAGCTCCATGCCAGGAAAGCGTTGGCTTTGGGGCTGTCTTTCCCATGCAGGTACCCCTTACCCCTCAGCCTTAATCCCAGCTACCATCACGTTGGTGGTGTCCTTGAGCTCAGACAGGATCCAGCCATCCAGTCCAGAGTGACTTAAGGGTCTGCAGGTGGTGGGAGGGCCGCGGGCATGGTCAGCATGTCAGAATTGTGCTGGGCAGTCAGTCGGTCCTGCTATGTGGCCAGGAAGCAAAGAACTGGATGTATATGATGAGCAGCCTTTAGCACCCAGATGGAGATGAATGAAGTTTCATCTTTGTCTAGATCTTTTCGAAGGCTCTGACCTGCCTGTGTGTAAGATGGTTAGATGAAATGGTTATCGTATGGACTCGTCCTGTGGAACTACCTTAAGGCTAAATGCTCACCTGTCGTAATGGTTACTCTCTGCAGCATCAAGCTGTCCAGTCCTGTGAAACGGCCCCGGAAGGAGCCTGTGGACGAAGATCTGTATCCGGAACATTACCGGAAATACTCTGATTACATCAAAGGCAGCAACCTGGATGCCCCTGAGCCATACCGAATTGGCCGGATAAAGGAGATCTTCTGTACCAAGAAAGGCAATGGCAGGCCCAATGAGACAGACATCAAGATCCGGATCAACAAGTTTTACAGGTGGGCGAAAGCCTGTCTTCCAGGCGACCCTGTCTGAATTGGGCTCATGACACACACAGTTGTGGTTTATTCACTAGATTCCTGTATGTGTGTTCTCACCACAATTAAACAAACAAGATGACCTGGTGGGCACTAATGTGGACTATAATTATAATGTATAGCTCAGGCTTCTAGATGCTTCTTAAAGCTGCAGAGCCCTTCTTCCAAAAGAAATCCTTACACAGAGGTCTAGAGTTTGTGTGATACAGGCCGGGATAGAAGGGCTAGCTTCTCTGGAGGCCCCACTGGAGATGCCCAGTTTTCCTTGTTGGGCCACTCAGGCTCCCCCCCACCCCCCAATCTCACCCTCCTCAAGGGTCCTCCCACTCCTCCCTGCCTTGTTCCTGTGTCTGGGGTTTCTCTATTTCTATGCTTTTCCCAAGGTCTAGGCTTAACTCAGTCTTATTCTCTTGGGTCTCTAATAACTGGTAGTGGTTAGGCCTGAACCTGAAATGGACCCATTCACTTCTTGGCTAATGTGGACCTTAACAAAGATTTTCTGAAGTCCTTGTAATAACACAAAGAGACCTGCTGGCCAGAGCAAGTGAAGAGAGCTCTCTGTGGACTTCTGAGCAGGCAGGCAGCTGCTGCTCTTTTTTCTTCCCAGCGTTCTCTCAAACAGGAGGCATCCAGTCTGTGCGTCCATGTTCATAGCTAGATGGTGGTTTTTAGCCTGCGTGCTGGTCTCTCTTTTTGGACTCTGCTTTGCTCTTGTCTCTTCAGCAGAAAGTTCCTTGCTGAAGTCTTCTAAAGCTGTAAGCCTGAGTGGAAGGCAGGGACCGTAAGTGTGCAGCTGGTTTTATCATGTGACATCGAATTTTTGGAAAGGAAAGTACTCAAGAATGACTTGAACCCCAATCTTATCTCCTGCTTTGGAGCTCTGCTTTTAGCAGCTTCCATTTGGGATTTTTCAACACTGCAAGACCCAAATTAACTTCAACTGCAAGCATCAGAGTAGCATCTTCCCCTCTTATCTGCTATAAGCTAACACCACAGATTTTAGATTCTTGGGCAGCTGTTCTTGAAACAGGACTAGACTGTTTCGGCCGGGGCAGTGGAGCAGTTCAGCTAAGCGTTTCATTCCGTTTATAGTGTTCTGTGCCAAACAGGGAGGCAAGTGACAGCTGGCTTTACCTGTTGGTCACAAAACACTCTTAGGAATGTGCTGCTGAATTCATTGTGAACTCACAGTAAGGGGGCTCAGTGGTAGACTCTTTGTCTGCCACATCTGACTGAGGTCGGTGTAGGCTTGCATGTTGCTCTGATGCAAAACATGTTTCAGTGGAGCTTCTAGACAAAGAGGGACCAGGAAGAAAGGTCTGGTGATCTACTTCCCAAAAAACACCCTGCAGGGCACAGATTTGGGGGATGATGCAGGAAGGGGAAGCATTTCATCTCATTGTGCATGGGTTCCTCATGAGCCAGGGGCCGACTCGACGGCAGCTAGCAGCCACAAAGTTTTCAGGACAAAGTTTTCCGCCACAAAGTTTTCACAAAGGATTCGGTAACTGAGACTCTTCCTCTCATAGGCCAGAAAACACCCACAAGTCCACCCCAGCGAGCTATCACGCAGACATCAACCTGCTTTACTGGAGTGATGAGGAGGCCGTGGTGGACTTCAAGGCTGTGCAGGGCCGCTGTACCGTGGAGTACGGGGAGGACCTGCCCGAGTGCCTGCAGGACTACTCATCGAGGGGCCCGGACCGCTTCTACTTCCTCGAGGTGTCACTCTGGGCTAACTTGTTGGGAGTTTGAGGCCAGACTCAGCTAGGTCCTAAGAGAGCAGCTCACTGTTTAGCTTATGGGGGAGGACTTGGGGTACTAGCGATCAGGGGCTTTACTAGCTAATGTGAACCGGCCCTGTGGGAACTAAAGTGGGGACCCGGGCAGGGTTTTTCAAAGCTTGAGTCATCTAAAGGTGCTCTGCAGTATGCTTCTGTGACTGCTCAAGTCGTGCCAGAGTTTACCACTCCTCGTTTTCAAAACGCGACCTTGAAAGAAAATGTAACTAAGACCGCTCAGATTTACCTGAGGACTGTTAGGGAACCCCCCCATCAGCCCTGTCGAACAGGGCCCTCGTGTGGAGTTGGGAAAGCTGCCCCTGTCCTGGAAAACAGAGTCGGGCCCTCCTTCAGCCTGATCCCCAGGGCTGTGCACAGTGGGTGGGGGAGGACATGGCAGTACCCATCAAGCTCATCGCCTTCCGTTGTTTGAGCTTGGCTTTGATCTTAGTGCATGGTTGTGTTTCCCGGGGCTGGTACGTGCAGCCTAATTGGACAATAATCTGTTCCTTTACGGAACAATGCTTTCCTATTTTAAGAATCAGTTGTCAGGGTTCAGATAGCAGCAATTTCTGTGTCGGCCAAATATTTGTGTTGATAGAATGAGTTTATTTTGAGTTCCTAGTGTAGCAGAATCAAGCTATTCTTGTTGGTGGCTAATTACTCTTGGCCTTGGTTGTTATTAAGTGCCATCGAGTTGGTTCTGACTCATACCAACCCTACATAGGATTTCCGAGGGATGGCTGGTGAGTTTGAACCACCAACCTTGTTAGGGAGATATTAAATGAATCTCTATCAAATTAACTTCTTAACGTAGTCTGCATTTGAGAGGGGACCTGTGTGTTTCTTTACCAGACTGAATGCTCTCCTTTTCAGGCCTATAATGCAAAAAGCAAAAGTTTTGAAGACCCTCCCAACCATGCCCGGAGCCCTGGAAATAAAGGGAAAGGGAAAGGAAAAGGTATATCTTCATTCCTTCTGATTTGTTCAAATGTGTCTTAGTAACTCGGAGCAGAACCTGTCAATCAGTCTCTGATAGCCCTTTCTGGGGAGACGTTGTTTCTCCCTCCTTCTGTATTAACAACTAAGACATGGTGGCCTTTGAACTAGTAAGGTGTTTGAAGACAGGATGTTAGGACGATTGGCTGTTGGGTTTTATTTTGGACCGCTCTTCTCTAGGGAAAGGCAAGGCGAAGTCTCCAGCAAGTGAGCCGAGTGAGCCAGAGGAACAAGTCAAGCTGCCCAAACTTCGCACTCTGGATGTGTTTTCTGGCTGTGGGGGGCTGTCGGAAGGATTTCACCAAGCAGGTAAGTGCCAGCGAATTTTCTTTCCCTGGACAGCAAGTAGAGCTGGATCCGGCAGCTTCTACATAGCCGTCATTTCTGGCTCTGGTCACAACTCTGACTCCAGCGCCTCATCTCTGCTCTTTCCTCCACCAGGCATCTCTGAAACCTTGTGGGCCATTGAGATGTGGGACCCTGCAGCCCAGGCATTCCGCTTGAACAATCCTGGGTCCACAGTGTTCACAGAGGACTGCAACGTCCTGCTGAAGCTGGTCATGGCCGGGGAGGAGACCAACTCCCGCGGCCAGAAGCTGCCTCAGAAGGGAGATGTGGAAATGCTGTGTGGTGGGCCACCCTGCCAAGGGTTTAGCGGCATGAACCGCTTCAATTCTCGCACGTACTCCAAGTTCAAAAACTCCCTGGTGGTCTCCTTCCTCAGGTAAAGGAGTAGAAACCCCCCTTTCGCTCTGACCTCAGGCACTTCAGTGGTACGTGACTAGACAGACAGTCCCAGGGCTGAGAGACTAGATGTGCCAGGTGATAAGCAGTACCACTTGTGCCCTGCACTGAGACCAGGCAGCTGGTCTTGGCCATCAGGAAATTCGCATCTCAGTTCTCACTGGGGAGAGATGTTGGGAGTTGGGAGATACAGCCTCCAGATAATCAATCCGAGGGCGAGCCTTCAGGGCGGTTTTGGTGGGGCAGGTCTGAGCTGCTCTCATCGTCTCCCCCACCTTCCCCAGCTACTGTGACTACTACCGACCCCGCTACTTCCTTCTGGAGAACGTCAGGAACTTTGTCTCCTTCAAGCGCTCCATGGTCCTGAAGCTAACCCTCCGGTGCCTGGTCCGCATGGGCTACCAGTGCACATTCGGCGTGTTGCAGGTGGGCCTCCCGCAGAACTGGTCTGCTGGCATAGGGTGAATGCATTTTGCATGTGGTGGTGGTGGTTTTATGCCGTGGAGTCAGTTCCTACTCATAGCGACCTTGTACAGAGTTTCCGAGGCTATAAATCTTGACAGGAGCAGAAAGCCTCATCTTTCTCCCGCAGTACAGCTGGTTGTTTCAAACTGCTGACCCTGAGGTTCGCGGCCTGATTCATAACCACCACGCTACCAGAGGGTAGAGTGTTATGGATTGAATTTGTGTCCCTGCCAAGAGTTCTATTGAAGTTTCCTAACCCCTGGACCTGGGATCATGCCCCTGTTGGGAGAAGTAGGGGGTTTTCTTTGCACATGTCATCAGCTGTGATAGCAAAGTCCTACCAGAGTAGGGTGGGTCCTGGTGGGATTTGGATGGGGGGGCAGGTGGAGAAGGAGAAAGAGTGCTTGGGCCAGCACCCACCATAGCTGACAGTCTCAGTGTTTAGGTAGAAAACCATGTGGATGGCACCCCACAAGTCCACTTCCTCACAGCCCCTCTAGAAGTACAGCCTTGCATCTGCCCAAGGAGCCGGGGTGGGACGAGGGGGCTCCTGCTGCATGGTGCCTTCCTTCTGCATGGCAGCCTAGTTCTCTGTCCCTGTCCCATGGGCGGGCCAGGCTCCTGGGCCTGAGGCCCTCACTGCTCAGTCAGGAGCAGTTTGTGCCCATCTCCACTCGTGGCTTACCTGAAACTGTCATGTTGTGTCTTCATCTGACCCCACATCCTCTTCCTTAGGTCTAGACCTGCTGGTTAAGTGGGAGTTGGACGAGGGAGCTGGACCTCAGCCACCCCAGCTGGTCTTGTGCCCCACTGACTCTCTGTGTGTGTGTGTGGTCCTCCCACGTGCAGGCTGGCCAATACGGGGTGGCGCAGACGCGGAGGCGGGCCATCATCCTGGCTGCGGCCCCCGGAGAGAAGCTCCCCCTGTTCCCAGAGCCACTGCACGTGTTTGCGCCCCGGGCCTGCCAACTGAGCGTTGTGGTGGACGACAAGAAGTTTGTCAGCAACATAACGAGGTGGGAACCTCACTCACCACAATGGGACTTGGGGGGTTACCCACTGAGGGCATAGCATCTGACCTGCCACCTCCACTCTCAGGCTCTGCTCTCGGGCTGGGTACTGTGTGCAGGCGCCCGGCCACACGCCTCTGCCTCCATGCACCTTCCCTGGTCTCGCCCCTCTAGGGTGGGGTCCCGGGAAGAACACTGCCTGTATGGCCTCTGAGCTGTCAACCTGTGCCCTTCTGTGGTGCCGTTTCAGGTTGAGCTCGGGTCCGTTCCGAACCATCACAGTGCGGGACACGATGTCTGACCTCCCTGAGGTCCGGAATGGTGCTTCGGCGTTAGAGATCTCGTACAACGGGGAGCCTCAGTCCTGGTTCCAGAGACAGCTGCGGGGCACGCAATACCAGCCCATCCTGCGAGACCACATCTGTAAGGTAGGGCTCCTGACCTACCACACTAGACTGGCAGCTCAGACTGGGGCCCTCATCATAGACCCAGGCTCGGTGTGGGAGGCAGAATCTGCTCCTCTGGCAGCTCCCAGCCGGCCCGTCACCATCCCCATGGCAACATCCCCATCTACACACACCTGCCCACCTCAGTGGGCTCCCAGCATCACCTCCTCACTGTAGTCCCCCCAATCGCCTCCAGGGCCCCCATCCCCATGGCAACACGTACTCATGTAAAGCTTCCTTCAGCCTTCTGCTGTCCCTGAATCAGCCCCAAATGGTGGCTGTGGCCCTCCTCCTCCCACTCCTGCCTGCAGGGCTCGGCTAACGCCCTCCTCAACCCCTGTCCCTGCTTTCTTTATTATCTCTGGTGTGGATGTGAGCTGAGTGAGTTGTCAATGGGTTCACTGCATCTCCTCCCAATGGGATTCCAGCCCCATGGGGTTCACCCCTGTGGGCGTAGAGATGCTGGCTGTTGGGTGACTGCTGGGCCCACCCTCTCTCAGGACATGAGCGCACTGGTGGCTGCCCGGATGCGGCACATCCCGTTGGCTCCTGGCTCAGACTGGCGCGACCTGCCCAACATTGAGGTGAGGCTCTCAGATGGCACCATGACCAAGAAGCTGTGTTATACCTACCATGACCGGAAGAACGGCCGCAGCAGCAGCGGGGCCCTCCGAGGAGTCTGCTCCTGTGTGGAAGGTGAGACCCTGCTCCCGGGCTTTACCTCCCTCACGGTGGGCCTGAAGCTGCCTCCCGGTCACCCCACTCCAGTTCCCGGCCGGCCAGCCTACTGGTTGCCTGGGACCCTTTGACCAGAAGGAGCTGTTTGGGCCGCTGCCTATTCACTTGCAAAATTGGGTCAGGCTCGGATGCCAGCTTTGGATGGCACGCCCGCTGCTAACCACAGCCTGACTGCGGTGTTCTCTTTCAGCAGGCAAGACCTGTGACCAGTTGGCCCGGCAGTTCAACACCCTCATCCCCTGGTGCTTGCCCCACACTGGGAACAGGCACAACCACTGGGCAGGCCTCTACGGACGGCTCGAATGGGATGGCTTCTTCAGCACAACCGTCACTAACCCCGAGCCCATGGGCAAGCAGGTAGCACCCCAGGGCCCTAGGCTCAGGCCTGGCACTGCAGGGTCTAGGAGAGCAGGTGTGGGCTCAGGGGGTGTAGGCTGAGGAAATGTGCCCCTGCCCCACCCCAGTGCATCTGGTTCCCCTAGGGCCGAGTGCTTCACCCCGAGCAACACCGTGTGGTGAGTGTGCGGGAGTGTGCCCGTTCCCAGGGCTTCCCTGACACCTACCGGCTCTTCGGCAACATCCTGGACAAGCACCGGCAGGTCAGTGGTACAGTCCCCGCTGGCCCCCGTCTCACGTCCCTACGGACTGGTGTTTCATCCACGGGTGGGCCTGTGGTTTTCATCAGGGTGGAATGCAGTCCAGCTGTGGGCACAACACAATCACCCAGAGCTTGTCGGCTCTGCCTACAAGGGGTGGCTATCCCAACATTTCTTCATTGATCTTTTGGTGTGAGCTTGGCTCTGAAGTGTATTTTCATTGCGTTCATGTGACTTAAAACTCCAGCAGTGCCCTGGGTTTACAGTGAAGGCTCACTCTGTCCTCCCAGGTCTCAGCCTGTGTAAGCCTAGCTGGAAGTTTACGAGTCTTGGCACTGGTGTTGTCTTTCAAAGTTCCTCTAAAGGCCCCCTCCTCTGTGGGTGGTCCTTGGGTGGGTTAGAGGGTCTGAGGCCATTGTGATGGAAGGACTCTGGGGTCCCTTCCCCTGGGGGCCCAGTGTCTGAGTTGTTACTAGTTTTGAGCAAGCTGATCTCTAGGAACTGATTTGGGCAGTGCCGACCCGATCCCCTGTCTTCTTTCCCTCCTGCAGGTTGGTAATGCCGTACCGCCACCCCTAGCCAAGGCCATTGGCTTGGAGATCAAGCTCTGTGTGTTGGCTAAAGCTAGAGAGAGTACCTCAGGTATTGGGGCTTAGAGGGTTGGGAGTGTTTTCATAGCTGAGATGTGTGGGTGGGGGCAGCCCGGCCCACTGGGCTCTGCAGCCCGGCTCTCAGACTTCCCCCTTCTGTCAGGCTCCAGGGCAGAAGCAGAGAGCCCAGCACACAGGAGGTGTGCGGTCAGGTCTGGCTGCTCCACATGCTCTCACTTCTGAGGAAACTGGCTTGGTGGGTTCTAGAAACCCACTCTGGTGGTGGTGGGGGGGATGTGCCATGGAGTTGGTTCCAACTCATAGCGACCCTGCATAGTGTTTCTGAGGCTGTAAATCTTTATGGGAACAGAAAGCCTCATCTTTCTCCCGTGGAACGGCTAGTAGTTTCGAACTGCTGACCTTGATGTTAGCAGCCTGACTCATAACCACTACACTAACAGAGCTCCTTAGAAATCCATTCTAGGGGGCACCTTTTGAGGCATACCAACTTCCAGTGTTCTCACAGGTGGGCCCTTAGCAGAGGCTCCTGGGTGTTTGTTAGACTCTCCTGTTGCATTGTGTAATGTTGTCTGTCTTCCCTGGAGTGACTCTCCCTGTTTACTTTCCTTCAGCTAAAATCAAGGAGGAGAAAGTTACCAGGATCTAGTTTTGCCCTCCACGGCCCTTGTTTCCGGCACAGGAGTCCCCAACATGCACTGATGTTGTGTTTTTAACATGGTAGAAATCTGTTGGTCCCAATGTGTTGTACATGGTGTTTGTAGCCTTGCCTGACAGGAAGCTATTCGGTGAGGCTCGCTTCTCCATAACCACGTAGTGATCAAACTGTGCAGTACTTTGTGCATTCTGGATTTTAAAGGTTTTTTATTCTGCATTATATCAAATCTACCACTGTATGAGTGGGAATTAAGACTTTATGTAGTTTTTATATGTTGTAATATTTCTTCAAATAAATCTCTCCTATAAACCATCCCGGGCAGTGATTTGTGATTTTGCCATCTTGGGGCTTCTGGCTGACCTGTGGTGCCAGCCAGGGATTGGGATGACATGTGTTGGGGGTGGGGGGAATTTGTGAGGCTCAGTTCTGGCCACTGAAATGCAAACAGAACTGGCTAGTGCTCTTTCCAAGAAAGCCTGTTAAAGGAACCCTCCGGGCTGGCCTTGCAGACCTTTCTTTCGTCTAATGGGCTTTTTTGGTGCCTGGTGGTCCAGCAGCCTTCTTGTGACCATGAGGACGGAGGACAAAAGTCCCTATAGTTGATGGAGCTTAAAGAAGAAAGGAGTTATCAGTCACCAGAGGCCACTTCCTGGGTGCTGAGTGGCACCTGCCCCACTGCCTCCATGTGGGGTTTTATAACGTGGCGTTAGCTGATGGACTCCGTTCACAGGTCACATCACAGCAGTCAGGAGACCGAGGGCCTCGTACTACTCTATCTGCAAAGTTTCAACTTCTTTAATAGCAACCCGCTTTCTCCTGTTACAGAGCCCTGGTGGCACTGTAGGATAAGCACCAGACTGCTAGCCACAAGGTTGGCAGTTCAAGCCCACCGGGTTAGTGCAGGAGCTAAGGGTACACTGCACGGTTCGCTTTTCGTTTTTTTTTTGTGGTAGTACGTCCCTCTGATCTCTGCTCTATTCTCTCTTCTTTTGTCTCTGACAACTACGAGACTCTCTGACATGGGATCAGGGCTGTGGTGGGGCTAGGGTGGTGCATCCCACCCTAAATCCTCTTACTGGCTTAATTAACCCTATTAGCTCACATCACGGGGATCATCACAGAGCTACCAAACCACGGACAATCGTGACCAGGCCACACTGACAGATCTTTTGGGGGGATACACTTCAATCCGTTAGAGAGCCCTAATGTGGGGGCTGCTAAATTTACAATAATCTATGTCTGAAGCAGAAAGGGGAATTTCGTTATCAAAAAGGATGAGCCAGGAGTGGAGTACGTCCTTTATTTCATCCAACACAGATCTGTTTGTTCTTCTGGCAGTCCATATTCTTCTCCAACACCACATTTCAAATGCATCAGTTCTTCAGCTGTCTTCCTTAGTCACTGTGCAACTTCCACATGGTTATGAGGCTACTGAAAATACCATGACTTGGGTCAGGTACACCTTAATCCTCAAACTGAGGTCTTTGCTCTTGAACACTTTAGAGAGAGATTATGTAGCAGATTTGCCTAATGCAATACATCAGTTGATTTCTTGACTGCTGGTTCCATGAATGTTAACTGAGGATCCAAGTGAAATGAAATCTTTGACAACTTCAATCATCTCTCCATTTATGATGTTATTTATTGGTCCAGCTGTGAGGATTTTTGTTTTCTTTACATTGAGGTACAATCCATACTGAAGGCTGTGGCCTTTTGATCTTCATCAGTCACTGGTTGTTTATGAGTCTTCCTCCAACCCTGATACCACATTCTTCATATGATCTAGATTCTCGGATTGTTTGCTCAGCGTACAGATTGAATACGTACATGAGAGAACAAACTTGTTAAAATCACCCACTTGTGCTATTTCTCTTACAACAATAGCATACAAGACAGGACCCACCCCAAGGGTGCCACACACATACCGTATTTGCTCTATTAGCAAGCTATCCTGTCCCCTTACTGGGTCACAAACATATATTTGTGGAGGATCAAAAAAAAAGGATCCCCAACCAGATGGATTGTCAGTGGCGGCAGCAATGGACTCAAACATCTAATTTATGAGGATGGCACAAGATCGGGCAGTGCTTCCTTCTGTTGGGCATGGAGTCGCTATGAGTCAGAACCGACTTGACAACCCCTAACAACAGCCCAGTCATTTGGTGGGAATTACTAGAAGGGCTGCATCACGTAGCTCAGCACACTGCAGAGCTGCTGGGCCACAGGAACATTCACCTTTGCCCATGTTTCTTCCAACTACATTGTGTCTGCCACATAGAGATTTCTATTTTAAATGCATTAAGTTTATTTATAAGGAGATCTGGTAACACATTGATTAAGTGCTCAGCTGCTAACCAAAAGGTTGAAACCCACCAGCTGCTCTGTGGGGGAAAGATCTGATAGTCTTCTTGGAAAGATGTGTACCTTAGAAACCTTGTGGGTCAGTTCTACTCTGTCATATAAGTTAGAATCAACATGACAACTGTGGGTTTGGCTTTTGGTTAGATTTATTTATATTTGTTTTCTCATTTTCTTTTTTTCATAGCCTAGTTAGATAGGCCTTCCTTATTCATAGAAGAGCATGCCATTGGGATTGGAGGAAGACTCATTATCAACCTGCGATATGCAGATGATATAACATTGCTGAAAGTGACAAGGACTTAAAATACTTGCTGATGAAGATCAAAG